AAAGATCAATTATTTTTCTTTCTTCTTCGTATTGTGTTTTCACTGGATATAAATCCAACAAATTAGCCACCCCCCAAAAAAAGTAAGAAAGGAAAAAGACACACCTGGATTCAAATAGCCTTTTTTTTTTTTTTTTTAAATCACAGACTCTCTGAACCTGATTCCTCATCTATAAAAGAGCAATTTCTTTTCTCCCAAGATTAGCGTGAAGATTAAGTGAGATAAAGGTACTTGTAAATTACAAAGCAATATGCAAAATTAAGGTATTATAATAGTCTGAGAGAGCTAAAACTACAGGACAAGAGATCATACACAGATACAGAAATATACTCCAGATTTGGGAATCTTCCATACTGAGGTTATAGCTGAAGAAGTGGATTACTTCCTTAGAAGTCTTAGAATCTACCCACTTCAAAATAAAAATGTTCTTCTCAAATTTCTTAGGAATACTGAAGTTTTACATGTTATAGAAATAGATTCATAGACGTAAAATTAAGACATTACTTTTCCTACATGTTACTCAAACATAAGGTGGAAAAATACCTAGTAATTTCACTTCCTAATATTTGGACAGCTAAATAAATTATTTCATTGTCTTAAAAGTCAAGCTCTAAAGGTAAACTTAGCAATCTCCACATGTTCCCTCTCAGAAATTACATGCTTTATACATAGCACAGCATCCTAAATGGTGTTTCTCCTCTCTAGTCCCATTTCTGATACTTCCTCATGCTTAAACATCTCTGGGTATCCATTTAAAACCAGAGAGTAAACTCCTAACAGACAAGAAGCATGTCTTATATATGTCCTTTCCACAGGAACAACCAAGTACAGTACTGGTCACAAAAGAGGTACTAACCCATATACATACTAAGAAATACTCTAGCCAACTCATGTCATTGATGTTGTAATAATCATGTAAGAGTTACTACTCATGTCTTATATAACTTAAGCCTATTTTAAGCCCTTCAAAGAGACAACTAATAAATTAAAAGAAAAATTCCCCCAAGTAATATTGTATGAGAAACATTTTTATGCAGATAATGAAAGCTTAGGACTATTAAAAATCATACACTTCATTGTTTCTTTAAAAGAGAGTATATATGAGATGAAAACAGTTCTAATATTGTGATCTTAAGATCGTTTCCTTAAAATATTTAATACATGGAGGCACACTGCTGTTGTTTGTTCATATACCCTTTACCAAAATGTAACGTTTCTTACAGATACTAACCCTACAATTTCATTCAGTGCCATTTTTACTTTTAAAAACTTTTGAGTTTTGTTTTTTAACCTTTGGAGCAGAAAGTTAAAACTGATATGATTAACTGCAGGCTTTTTTTTTTAAAGTATAAGCACTGACGAATCCCTAGGCTAATTCCAAAATAAAAGTCTTCAGTTAAAACCTTTGTGGGGCACCTGAGTGGTTCAGTTGGTTGAGCATCCGACTTCTGCTCAGGTCATGATCTCACGGTTGGTGGGTTCAGGCCCCACGCGGGGCTCTGTGCTGACAGCTCCCTTTCTTTCTGCCCCTCCTCTGCTCACACTCTGTCTCTCTCTCAAAAGGTAAACAAACAAACAAAAACCAGAAACAAAAACCAAAAATAACTTTGTTATGAAAAAGAGGTGCTAAAAAAGGCTAAGGATGAAATGCACCTAAGTGTGGGCTGGGAGGGTTGTGTGTGTGTGTGTGTGTGCGTGCGTGTGTGTGTGTGTGTGTGTGTGTGTGTGTGTGTATGTTTGTAGTAATGCCTTTGTTATGAAAAAGAAGTGCTAAAAAGACTAAGGATGAAATGCACCTAAGTAAGTGTGGGCTGGGGGATGGGATGGGGTGGGGTGGGGTGTGTGTGTTTGTGTAGTGACAGTGATTTGAAGGCAGGATATCAAGACAGATTGTTCAGGGTACTTCACCCCAACTAATTTTTTTTAATTGTTTCCAAAGTGCTGCCTTTTTAAATTACCATAGTCTGTGAACTAAAAGATACTATGCCTAAGGGAAATTCCAGAGTACAAGCACCTGCCAGCCAAATTGCCTAAAATTCATCAGCGGCAGAGATTAAAAGCATCCTTTAGTTTTTATGTAAAACAAAAGTAATACAACAGGTATATAGTTTCAATATGACGAATATAACATGACCAATCCCCTAACATTGCTCTCAACAATTTCAAAACCTACTACACAGTTTTAATTGCCATTGTACATCTTATAAAATGCATATAATAGTGTTTTCCTTATCTAAACACTCAATAATTAAGGGTACAGCTTGAATTTTAAGATTTCCACGTTACAAATGGATCTTATGATTCACCATATGATTCCCTTAAATAATCAGCTTCTCTGGAATCATTCTGTTTATAAAGCACTTTTCTGCTTATATAAGTGTAGTTTTCTCACATTTTTTCCCCAAGAACTCATCTGGTATACAAAAGGAGATATACACGTATACCTCCTTGAGAATAAACAAATGCTTTCAATCCTTGTGGCCCCAGAGGAACGTCACATGTTTTGAATTGTTCAGTTAAAAAAAAAGTTTTTAAACACCTAGAATTCAAGTGCTTGCCTTTACATTCATGGCTCTCTTAATGATAAAATAAAGATCAATGTAAGCTCTAGACTAATGAACTGCAGGGAACAGAAACAAGCAATTTGGCAAGAGCTAAGCACAGCTCTGTTTAAAGACTACCAGTAAAATATACCAGCATTACCCCTCCCCCACCCCTCGTCCCTTAGAGGTTTCAATTAAGATGGGGCCTAGTTTTTACTCTTACAAGGGGGACAGAAAGAGAAAGCACAGAGCTCCTGCTGAAAACTAGCTTCATCAGGAGCAGCTTCAGAAATACTGCCACCAACCATTTCTTTCCTTCTCTGTTGACAGGGTTCCTCTCTTTAGAGAGAGGTATCTTCCCCTGCAGCTGATCAACACCGTATCTAAAGAAAAGTCTCACCCACTCAAGGATGGCATCAAATGAATACAAAAAATACCTAACATTAGGGTCAGCTATAACACTCTTTATGAAAAGTGAAGACCCAACAACAATTCATCTTCATCTTCCAATCTCTCCTATCGGTTGCCTCATGAAATGGATAAGAAGGGATAAAGTTATTTAACAAGTCATATCTACGGTTTCAAAATAAACTTAAGTGCCCCCAATTGGTGAGAAAGGCTCCCTCACAATACTTAGAGAAAATGAAGCCTTGGCAAGCCTTCCAGAAGTCCTTGGAATCAAAAAGAAAAGAAATAAAAGCAGATTTCTACTTTGAGTGGTGACCCACCATTCCTAAAAGCTGAGGCGCCGACAGTGCAGTGGTATCTCAGTCCCACAACATCTCCCAGTATGCTCTATTTTTGCTCTAGTATTCGATCACCTCTTTGTGTACAGGACAAGTCTTTCAGTACTATGATTAGTGAATAAATGCACCCATGAGGCTTAAAAAAAAAAAATTAAAAAGCAGTGAAAAATTGATGCCTCTTTAAAAGAAGCCAAGAATGAAACCACCTCACTATGTAAGGAATTATAAGACATCAAAGGTTAGATAATGGACAACAGGTGCCTTTGGGAGGAAAGAGTAACACTCAGTTGTCTCCTATTTTAGGATTTCCACTCTCAAAGCACTCTAATGTGTGTTTTTCTTTTCTCCCCATAGAGGGTCAGGGCCAAAATTATGGCCCTTTTACTATTTAATACCAGTAATGGGTCCATTGCTCTTCGACTAACTTTCTTACTTTAGATTTAAAAAATTCATCTAATCCCAACATGGCTGAATAAAGTATGGCCTATGGCCAGATCACGCACTGATCCATGAACATTCATCAACCAGGGACTTATTACCAAGAAATGCAAAAGAAAGGCTTCTGAATACAAACTACCTCCACACAAAACACTGAAAATACAAATCCAGCAGCAGGTATCACATAACTGCAGAATCAGCCAAAGCAGAAACTGTTTCTCTCACCATCATAACAGTTGAGCTCAATCTTTACAGTAACCAGATTCCAATGGCCTCAAAGAATAGTAATTCCAGACACAGATTATAGGGCACTGAGTACCAGCCTCTAGTTCTGATTCCCTTAGCCAGTTACAAAATCTACTACCTTTATTCTGGTGAAAGGGAACACTGGAAGGATACTGCAGCCTACTTAATAACCTCTTCCATTCCACAAAGACAACATATTCCAAAAATGGAGAATCCTTTCTTTCCCTGACAGAGGCCCCCTTTCCTATGGATTCACTAGGCAGGATTATTTCTCCCCAACATGCTGGCAGAACCAGAAAATACTTCTGCTTTCACTCTTCTTTTAAAGAGGGTCCCCCAATACAGATGCACCTCTTCCTTTCCTGTATGAAGCAAATGATGCTTCAGTGCTTCTGGTTCTCTCCACCACTGCAAAACGTTCAGAGAAGTGGAAGGAGAGAAGGGAAGTTGGCAGACACGGAAAGATACTTAAAAGAAGCCTCCAAATTTAAAGTGAAGACTGGGGGGGGGGGTGCCCTCTTCCTGAAGAGGGAATGGGGGTCCCCACCCTAAAAAGGGACTCTCTGCGTGGGTAAGGGGTGCCTCCACTCTGAAAAAGAGTTCAGTATGTGGAAAGTGGGAGGAATGTTGTGCCCTGAAGCGAGGTCAGGGTTTCAGAAAGGGGTGCCCCAACCCTGAAGGTGGGTCTGTGGGGGGAGCCGTGAGTGTATAGGAAGGGTGTACCAGTTACGGGGCGGGGGGGCTCTAGGAGAGGGGGTTTCCACTTTGGGGAAGGAGGGCTCTGCACTGAAGGGGACGCTGGGAGGAAGGGAGGGTCTTGCGGGGGGTGTAGGGGGGGGCTGGGTATGGGGGGAGGGGTTCTGAGAACACCCGCGCCAGTAAAGGGGCGGCAGCCTCGAGGGGAACATGTGCAGTGGAACTACTACCATCCCCAGGGGCAGGGTGGAGAGCAGGGCCTGGGCTGTGTGTGGAGAGAACAAGGCTCCCACCCTGCGCAGAAGCCGGAGGAGTCCCCAGCTGTACTCACCGAGGCTGCCGGCGAAACCGTCCATCTTGCGGGGAAAGCGCCGGGCTCCGGGCTCAGCGGGGCGGGCACTTCATTCAGCGGACCGACAGACTGGCCAACGCTGAGCCTGACCCGCTCACTCTCTCGGTCGCCCGGCACGGCTCCTAGCTCCCGCCTCCGTCGTCCGTCGGTCTGTCCGCCCCGGGACACTCAGCCGCGGCCGCTCGGGCCACTTCCCCGTCAGATTGAGAGCCGCACCGCTCCGCCGCCTGCCCGGCCTCCCTCCCAGGCAGCAGCCGCGAACGCCGCGCCGCGCCCCGCCCCCGCGCCCGCGCGCAGCGGTAGCCCCGCCCCCGCGCACGCCGTCAGGCTTCCGACTCCGCCTCCCACGTGACAACACGGAGGCGGGTGCTTGCCGACCCTTCCCTCTCACCTTGCCTTGGCCTCGGGTTCCTGCCGCCTCGAGCTTTAATAGTGACTGCGCTTGCGCAGTGGGCCTGCCAAGGGCCTGGGACTTGGGTCTTAAAGCTTGTTGCGAATGGATGACGATAAGGGTTGGCCTCGGGCCTGAGACTCTCAGGAGCGTCGAGGGACTCTCATAGGCCCTAGGGAGCCTACGGAGTACCCCAGGAGCCCAAGTCTAGAACCCTTCGGACAAAAGATGGTCACTCTGTGGGTCCTACAAGGACACCAAGGAGGCAACCAAGTTCCGTGAGGACTCCCTTCCTCCGGGATCTCCCTCTCTCCCAGTAGGAGGTATATGGGGGCGAGCCTTCCTAACTCAAGGCCATCAACGCCACAACCTCAAGGCTCAAGACAAACTGGAAACAAGGAATGTTAGTGTTGGACAAGACCCTTGCCTCCTCTTCAGGGAGGACGCTGAGCCTTGGAAAGGATTTGACCTGCCCAAGGTCATGGAGCCTGGTAGAAGCAGAACTAGAACTCAGGCTTCCTTACTCCCCCTGGTGTTCTTTGCACCAAGAGTTGCAAAGCAACCCCTTACAGGGCATAACATAGGATTGCCTACTAGTGCACTGTAACAAACGATTTTAGTGAAGTAAGCCTGAGTTCTCAGGCCAACTCCATGTGACTCAATAAATAGGTGAGCATCAAGTCTCTAAACTTATTTGGGACTCAATTTATTCACTTGCAAACAGAAGGACTGGACTTGTAACCAAAGGATGTAAATATACACAACCTTCATCCTCCTCCTCTCTCCCCTGCTCTCCCCTATTCTTCATCCTTCTAAAGACCTTCCAGTGGTTTCCAAAGTTCCTCTTGGGACTTGGCTGTGTGGACAGAGAAATAAAGAAAACTGTGAGGTGCTCATGAACTAAATTGATGTATACAATAATTAAGAGCTGAGTTAGGGAAGAATTAGAGTCATTATAGACAGTTTGCAGGAGAAAGAGGCAGCCCGAAGAAGGAAAATGAGAAATAGGTTGGCAACTATCATAATGAGAGGGACTTAAAATTAGATGGTTAAAAGGATTGTTAAACATTTTATTGCCATGTTGCAGTATACTTTTCCTCCCAACCCTTGGGGGTGCCTCTTTAAAAATCCTCCCTAAAAATCTAAATTACTTTTCATGGCCTTTTGGATACAGGATTCAGACCTGTATGTCTTCTGAATACCATACCATGTGTAGACAGGCCATTAGGCAGCCAAGATAAATTGAGGTTACTGACTAAATGGTGTTCAGAGTTTCCTCCTGTTTCAAAATTAAATTATTAACCTACTATGGTCATTTTTATAAGTTCCTATTAAGCCTAACCACTTAATGTTTGAGAAGCCCCAGTTCTGATGGTTGCTCTTCTATGTCTGCATGCTACACTCTCTGCCTTAGGTCAATTAAAAGAATAAGAACTTCCACTGATATACTAGTATACAGATATATATTTTTTAATTCAGAGAAGGATTCACATTTTGTGGGGCCTGAAGCTTTTACTATTGATGGGACCCTTCTAAAAAAAAAAACCATATAAAATTAGGTTAAATGGAGGGTTTATTTAGAGAAAATAAATTACAACAGAGTACACATTTTAAGAAGCCTACAAATACTACAAATATTACAAAATCAAGAAATATAACATTTAATTAACTGTCGTACAGCACTCCAATTTTTTTCTTTACTAATTTTCTTGGTTGCATACTCTGATTATTTCTTCATATGACAACAATTCTTTTTTCTTAACAGACATCTTTTACAGGGATTCTGCTATATGACAGGTTTTATATTCAGGTTTTTATACACCTAACCCTATTCCAGTGTTACACCAAGCCCATGAGATCAGTGTTATGAATATGACAGTGGTTATTAAATAACTTTTTAATAGAAAGGATAAAAAAGATAACTTAGTTTTTCCTTTAGGATGGGTTATCAAATTAGTCTTATTATTGGGATATAGTTGGAATGCATAAAAAACCACTTTGCATATATAGTACAGGTTGTTTTGTAGTATTGCTGCAGGAATTGTGATGAATTCTATTTCACTTGATTCCCATTTTAAAAAAGAAAATAAATAGGGGTGCCTGGGTGGCTCAGTCAGTTAAGCGTCAGACTTTGGCTGAGGTCATCAGGCTTGCTGCTGTCCGCACAGAGCCTGGTTTGGATCCTCTGTCCCCCTCTCTCTCTCTCTGGCCCCCCCCCACTCATTCTCTCTCTCTCTCTCTCTCCTGACTCTCTCTCTCTCTCAAAAATGAATAAATATTTAAAAATAATAATTTAAAAGAAAAAAGAAAATAAATAAAATGTATGGTGAATTTTAAATTATGCATACTGTATTATTGAGTATATATTCCTGACCAAACTTCTATTTTGTTTGACATCAATGAGAACCAAATATAAATCATATATGTGATTATTAGAATATCCTCTGGGCTAATTTCTGGCTTTGTATGTTTCAAACCTTATTTCTCCCACAAGACCCATACACTTCCAGTGCTAGCCATATGCTCATCGCAATTATGACTCCTAGTCCTACCACTTCCACGACAGGATGCTGGGTGAATCAGTGCAGTGGCCCATAGGAATATTCCTGGAATCTATTGCTAAACAAAGAGAGGCAGCAATAATTTCATTAAATGTAAGTGCCTGTAGCCCATGTGAGTATGTCTCATTAAGCCTGAAATTAAATCTATTCCCAGCTCAGCTTTCCCTTAGCCAGATACCTAAACTATCCAACGCCACTCCAACACCGCCTGACATAAAGGGAAATGTGACAAAGGAGAGATTGTAGTGGAAAGACACACTTGCCCAGAGCCTTAGAAAAGCCTTGAAAGAAGACCCTTAGAGCTTAAGTTTCATTAACTCCATGATATATCAGCCTCTGTTTTAGCTACTTTTATTTTTACAAAAATAGCCCATGTTCATCCTAACTAGTGAAGGCAACCCAAAATTTATGTATATATATAAAAGGGCAAAGACAGGAAATATGAAATAAATGCTCATTCAGAAAAAGGACAACTGAGAGGAGAAATATAGCAGTCATCTGTCTACAGTAATTTCAGAATCCTGGGATAAGCATAATGCCTACATAACCAGAATGCTGGGATAAGCATTATGAAGGGTAAGGCAAGTTCTTCACTTAAATCTTACTCTTCTTTCCAAGGAATTTCCTTGTTCATTATACTCCATGGCCCCTGGCTTTGCTATTCTACAAGAGGGCGTTGAGGAGCACACCTTCCTTACAGGCTGTTCAGTGGACTTCTTACTGGTGCAAATATGAGATCCAAAAGTTATTTCTGACTCAAATAATTAAAGGATTTCTTTGAGAACATGATTCCCTTAAAAACTTGGTAGGCTTCTGATCTGTTTTCTTCCAGTCAGCAACATGTGCCAATAACCACACCCATACTTCTTTTCTACACATAATTCTCAAGTATGATTTATGTCTTTCCTTTCCTTCCCCAGTTTCTCTCTTTCTGAGTTTAATGGGTTGGGGGGGGGGGGGCTAATCCAAGCCTCCTGAGCTGCACAGGCAATAGTTGTAGCGAATCTTTTGCCATGACATAACAAAGCTATCAAGTAATTCTACCTCCAAAATTTGTTCTTACACCATCTCCAACCTAATTACGAATTCAAGGTCACATGTTTTAGTTATTTTTTTTACTCCTGCAGCATTCAACTTAAAGGTTTCTTTTTCTGTGTTAGTCCAGGTAAGGTAACCGCTATTACAAACAATCCCCACATTTCTGTTAGCTTAATATAATAAAATGTTTTCACTCTTATTACTATCCAATGCAGACCATCGGGGACTCTGCTCCCTGAAGTCATTCAAGGACCCAGGCTTCTATCTTGGACTGTATTCTTTTCAGCTAGTGAATATGAGTAGTAATAGAACAACATAGAGGATCAGTCAGGAAGCTTGGAAGGCCTGGAAGTCTGCCTGTCACTTTTACCCACATTCCATGGGCCACATCTTAGTTGCATGAACATACTTAAATGCAAAGGAGGCTAGGAAGTACAGCCTAATTTTGTAAACAGAGGGAAAGGAGAAACATTTTGGTGACAGCTAGCCAAATAGTTCCTGCTATATTTCTCTTCATATCTCTTATCAGAGTTATAATTTTTCTTTGACTTCCATGATTATTCAATAAGTGTCCCACCCATTATATTATATACCATAGTGAGAGCTTTTAGAATATAGGGGAGGTAGTACATCTCCCTGGTGAAGAGCACAGATTCTGGGACCATACTATTTAAATTAAAATCCTAATGCTACCACTTGGTAGCTATGTAACGCTCTCTCTGTGCCTCAATGTTTTCATCTGTAAAATGAAGATGATACCATTTCTAATTCTTAGAGTTATTGAAAAGATGCAATGAGATAATACATATAGAGTCCTCAGCACAGGGGCCATTATGTTGTAAGTACATGGTATTAGCTGCTGTTGTTATTATTGCTTGTGTTTTGTCTGTTTTTGCTTAAATGGTTGTATACTCAGGGTCTATTACCAAGAAGCTGGTCAATAAATATTTATTAATAGTGGACAAATAAAGAACTCTGAAAACTAGTCAATCTGAATACATTAGTTCAACAACCAATGCCCAACTGTTTTAAAGCAGCCAATACGCATTTTTCTGTTTTACATTTATCAAATTAGATCTGACAAACTGTTTAATAATGCCATAATAAAATGGAAGATTGAACATAAATCCCTCAAAATGAAAATAGAGCTGTACATTATCATCAAACAAACACACATAAAAATCCAAATATACTCTATAATCAATTACCAATTACTGGATAATTATTTAGATTCTTCAAAGGATTTATCTTCA